TGTACAATTTTGTTCATATATCTCATATCTTAAAATTAACCATGTAATAATAATAATTACACATTAATAAAGATAATAAGACATGTCTCACCTTAACATTAAAAAAAAAAATGTTTATTAATTATTTATTAAGTTTTAAATAAAAATATAATAATTATTTTTTTTATATAATATTGCATATATAGTATATATTTATAAATATTATTATAAAAATTTATTTATAAAAAAAATAAAAAAATAAAATTTAAAAAAATTTATCTATTTTTATTTTAATTTTAATAAAAAAACTTTTTTAAATAGTTTTTTTTTTTAATATTTATTATAAGTTATGTTTAAAAAGTATTTTTCAATTTATATGACTTTTTTAATTGTTTAGTTTTAATGAAAAATTATTTTTAATTTAAATAATATAAAAATTTTTACTTGTCTATAATAAAAGTTAAAAGCAAAAATAAAATTTAAATAATTTTTCTTATATAAACTTTATATATATATATTTGAAACAAAATAATAAGTTGAATATTATTTGTAAAAAAAAATAATAATCATAATTATATAATAAAATTTTATATAATATGATAATAATTTGATTTTATAACTTTATAAATTAATAAAATTATAAAAAAGCTTAAAAATTCAATTTTATTATTTTATAAAGTTTAATAATAATTTATTTATTATTATTAATTATAATTATACTTTTAATAAAATAAAAAAAATTAAAAATGTTATATTAAAGTCATTTATTTTATTTATTTAATAAAAGGTTTATTTTCTTGACTAATAAATACTTATTATTATAAAATAAATATTATAATTAATAATACTCATTTTTTTTAAACTATTAGATAAGTAAATAATTTAAACATTATAAATAAATAAATAATACAATAACATTATTAAAATAATAATTAATTAATTAATAATACTAATTATATAAAAAATTATGTAATATCTTTTTAGAATTCAAATTAATAGTTATAATTAAAACATTGTATTATATTAATATGAAATTATTAATATAAAAAGGATTTATAACTTACTTATTAAATCAGCTTTTTTATTAGTTCTATCTTTTTTTATAAATATATGATATACAAATTATAATATAACTAAATAACAAATAATTATTATATATTTTTTATTGGTTTTTTTTTAAAGTTCACATATATTAACTATTTGTAAAATAGCTAGCACTAACTTATAGACTGAAGAGTTTGTAAAGATATTTGATATAAAGTTAATATCACATATATACCAATAAGTAATACATATACAGTAATATATTTCTACAAAAATAATAATAAAGAATAGACAATGAAGATTATACTGTATATAGTTGATAAAATAGATCATTTGTTTGTTTAAAATTTCACATAAATTGTTTTTGTTGAAAGATTATTTGTATCTTTGTATCACATATGTATTATAATTTATTTATTTGTATCACATATGAAAATGTATAGTCGGATATTTTTAATTCAATAAATACAACAAAAATTATGCTTTGAACTGTTAGAATCTATATTAAGATAATTACAGTAATATGTATTGATTTGAGGAAAACAATATCAATTGGCTTTCTTGACTTTTGATTTCCATCCCAAAAACTTTTATGTGGCGAATTAAAGTGATGCTTACGTGAAAATACACGAACGTGTTTCTTTATCGAACAATGAATGGTTTAATTGGATTGTTTGGTTATTATAATCCCTGTTAAGAGTATGCACCGATATATCTGTGCTGTAATTGATTACTCTAAAGCAAGTTGTCGAAATTTTAAGTCTGCTAAAATATTGGAATAAAATATCTTTATAAAAGAGAATCGGTAAAAATTTTATAAACTTCAAGTCTTTAAAGGTTTTAGCAAAAGCAATTAAGCAAAATATGGACTATGATTTATTTACAGACTCGCCATGAACTGCAAAGCTAGATTAACGAGATTTGACCAGATTATGTCGTTGAATGAAGGATTTGAGAATTAGCTGAAATTATGTAATAATATCAAAAAAGAGTTCTTATTCATCCGAATTCCCAATTGAATACTACTGTATAATTATGTTTTAAAAAGTATCGTACAAAAAAAATATTAAGAGAAGATTCGTCCTTCATACAGAATATTAACACTAATCTTTCCCTGATTTCATTTAGGCAATATACCTATTTGTGCCATCGGAAAGTACAGTTTTAGTACTCAAAAAACTTTCCAATTCACTATTAATAGCATCACAAACTCTAGTATGAATATGATTAATCCCGGAAAATTCATCTATTGAATCACTAAATTCTTCTAACAATTTAGACGCTTTTACAATACATTCATGTGTCATCGAGAGCGTTTCTCCAGTAACTAAAAGATTATTGAAAAAAAATTTTTTTTTTTTGTTTAAAATAATTGCATCATTATTATTTAAGAACATAAATTGATCTTTCTTTAGCAGTTTGCTTGAAGAAAGCCTTCAAGGACTCACCTGAATAATTTACGTTTCGAACGATCACAACTCTCAGATAGTTTAAAACAATCATGAAGATTTGCACAATAAAATAATGCTTGGTTACAGCTTGTAAATTTGTAATTTCCTCGTCCAAGACCTCTTTAAACTTCACAATGTCCTGCCTCAACTTTAAAACATCCTGCTTGTATTGATCAAAATCGAGGAGGTTTTTTTTTTCCTTTTCTTGATGATCCTTAATAGACTGATGTAAATAGTTTATGTGCGTGTTCGTGAGTTAAGTATGCAGGGAAATAGCATCTTAAACTATATGGAAAAAATGACTCACGTTTTTGATTTTCTCTATTAAAAAAATTTTTTTGGCTGCGGAAATATTGTTACTCTTTAGTAATGGAAGAGTTTTTTTGACGTGATTCTTGTAATAAGTAGGAAACGTCGTAGTATTTGTCGAATTGATCATTAGACCTTTATACTTTTCACATAATTCAACCCATTCAGGAGCCCAACGTCTTTTGCCGTAATTGTAGCAATCAATATAAAGCAATTTCTCGTAAATTTGTTGGGATTTTTGTTTAGTGTTTATATGTGCATTAGCGAATTGATCGATATTGTCAATAATAGTTTCGATTGTGCTACCTTTATCAATATTTATCACAGCTCTAGTAATTTCTTGACTCTCTTCGAGAATGTTATTATTACCGGCTTTATCACTAGAGACATCAATGAGTTTCTTGACATCCTCGGAAGTAGTATCGTCAGCGCGCGAATTTCCGAAGTACTTAGACTCGTTATATGTCATTTTTTATGAAAAAAATTATGAAAAAAAATGCGAAAGATACATTGCAGCAAACATTAAATAAATTTTTATCTGCCTCAAAATTTGCTAGAATCCACATCATCAAATGAGCATGTCATTGATCAGTTGTCGTTGCTTTTTTTCATGTACATCAGAATGATGATTAGTCAGATTTTTTCTCATGTATACCGACTCTTTATTGAAACCTGTTACTATCATCTTATTTGGGCATCACGGGAACGCAAGAGAAGTGTTTTTTTTGTCAAATAATTTTCTAGATCATTTCTATATGCCTTGTCTCCTTGGTTATCTGGGCCCGAACAAGATAAATATAACTGTGGATTGGAAAAAAAAAAGTCATCTCAATAGATTTATGGCATTAATCACGCATTATTGAATATCTCTAATCTAACTGGAATCAATTAATCAAATTTATCTAACTGGAATCAGTTAGTCAAATTTATCTAACTGGAATCAATTAGTCAAATTTATCTAACTGGAATCAATTAGTCAAATTTATCACTAGAATCCATCAAATTTTTCTAACTAGAATCCATCAAAATTTCGGAAATAAATATATTTTGTTACCACACACTTTTTATCCGCTTTTTCATGAGAAATATGAGACATACCAATCTCGAAAATTTTGAAAATTTACCCACTGCTGGCAAAAATCTTAAAGAAATTGTTATTGACTTTATCAATAATGATGTTACAGAGGAAAAAAGAAAAGAATTTATTAATTTCGTGAAAAGTATTGATGAACACACCTTAGACGAAGTTGTTTTTAAGGAAATCAATGAACTCTCTAATTTCTATATAAGAATTGAGGAAAAATCTCAACAAATTTATGAGATTTTGATTAAAATAGATGGCTGTAATCCTGATGACGGAAAAAGTTGGGCACCTGAATGGGACAAATTATGTAGAAAATATAAATATCTAATTATCAACTCGAAAAGAGATGCCGCGACATTGTCTAATTATGCCAAAAATCTCGTCAAAAAAATTCTTCCAATTCTAATGAATGACAAAGTGTCTGAGGAAAAAAAAAAAAAGTTAATAAACCAAATCAAAAAGGTGAGTCATTTTTTTTATATTGTTTAAATCACTCTTTCCTGTATGTTTAACTTACGAACACGCATCATTTACACAGTCTATTAAAAATAATCAAGAGAAGGCAATAAACAACTCCTTCAATTTTGATCAATACATACGGGATGTTCAAGAGTTCAGAGTGAATTATGATAGATGGGCTCAAGACAATCTTGTGAAGATAGAGAACTTAAAAGCTGAAATCAATAAGTTGAAAGAAGAAATTACACGTTATGATAATGATATTCATAAAACTTCGTTTAAGATAGGAAGTATTTGCGGCATTGCTTTCCTTGGCATTTCTATTTTTGTTGCAGCATATTTTGCACCTGCTGCGCTCCTCTCGTTTAAGTATATCGCGGCTGGAACTGTTGGAACACTTGGAACGTTTGGGGCTGGCTATGGCTGTTCCTATGCAGTTCTCAAGACAAAAATATCTGGTATAAAAGTATTGATTATGTCATAAATAATAATTATCTCAACTAATTTCTTCTAAAACAATTTTATTAGGTATGAAAAATGAGCTCGGTAAAAAAGAAAAAGAACTTATTATGACACTAAAAGCGTCTGAATTGTCCGGACAAATAATCGAACCATTAAATGAATTTTCTCGTATTACAAAAACTATTTCTAAAATCTGGGATGTTATCATTCTCTGTTTGAATTATTTTTTGAATGAATCGGATTATCTCTTGTTTTTGAACGATATTCCGGGAGAGTTTGAATCTCTTGCAAAATATTGGATTGTACTTGCCAAATGTTTAGATAGATATGTTGTTGAGGTAGCTAAGGTTGATTAAAAAGACAGTTAGTTGTATAAATATTTGTTTTTTTTTTGATAAAATAAAGAAGGGTACGAAGAGTCATTCTTACGATGCGAACAGATCCTATGAATATAATTGGCAACGACTAATTTTAATATAGTCTTATCGATTATCAACATTATTTATCCTTACATTAAAGTCGAAAAAAAATGTCATCAATATACATTATGTGTATTAATTTTTTAACTTTTTTTATATTTTACTTTACGGTATATCGCAATTAAGATTCTTTTTTTTTTAATAAAAAATTATTTGATTTCTTTAAGTTTGATTGCAATGTTTTTTATTAAACTGTTGTGACCTAATTATATAGAATATTTATTTGCGATTTGGTGCAAAAATCTTTGGAATTTTTTAAATTTTTTATTTTGCCTTAAAATTTAATAGATAATGAGCAAAATAAAACAATAGATATACGATATACTGTACAATAGAGATCTTAGTTAAAGCTTCAAAAAAGGGAAATTATTTAAAATAAAAAACTATTTAAAAGCAATTGTTTATAAACTGTAGAAAATAATTATAAATGAAATATAGCTCATTGTGAAAATATTGATTGCTAGAATTTTTTTTTAAAAAAAATAATTCAATCTATAAATAAAAATATAATTAATAAATATTCGTTAAAGAGCTTTTGATTTTCAAATATAATTTAAATGACAATATTTATTATAATATAATTAAAATTTTATAGATAATTCAAATCTTTAGTTCTTTAAATAAGATATCTGTACATACTGCATAATATATAATCAGGATTGGCAAAATTATGCTTTATTGATAATTGTCACGTTCTTTTATTATATTATTTATCACATTCCCATAGTAAATAATATAATAAAAGAATGTGACAATTGCCAATGGAGTATTATTTTGTTAACACTAAATATAAAATAATATAATAAAAGAATGTAACAATTACCAATGGAGTATTATTTTGTTAACACTGAATATAAAATAAAATAATATTAATTAATTAATCTGTATCTAATTTAATTAATTATTTTTTTTTTTTTTTAATGTTAAAGTGAGATATTACTCATGATCTTTATTAATAAAGCAAAAGTTTAACTTGTTACATAA